TAGCTAGTAGCTAGTAGCTAGTAGCAAGTAGCAAGTAGCAAGTAGGAAGTAGGAAGTAGTAAGTAGTAGGCAGTAAGTAGTAAGTGTAGTAGGTGTAGTAAGTGTAGTAAGTAGCACATAGTAAGTGGTCAGTAGTCATCAGTAAGTAGTAGTGGCAGAAGTCATAGAGGTAGTAGAAGTAGCAGCAGCAGGGGGGGGGGCAGAAGGAGTGGAGTGGAGGAAGATCCTGGGACCCAGGAGTGTCATTATATAGCAATAGTAGCAATCGCTCCCTCAAAACGATCATGACCCTTGCGCGGGTGATTTAGCGGAGAAGGCAACAAGACTTATTTTCGCTTCAACTGGTCCAGTACTAAATGCTGCAGCTTCTTGGAGTCTTGGAGTTGTCCCCCTCCAAGTCCTTGGCGGCTGAGGCCGCCTGTGCTGCCTGCCCTTCCTCCGCCTTCTTCTCCGCGGCGGCCAGGGCGGTCCGCAAGGACGCGATCTCCTGATCCGAGAAACGATCAGAAGCAAGCTAGGCCAAGAAGCTAGGCTTAGGCCATCTTCGGCCGCTAGGGCCTAGCTAAGCCCAAAAAAGGGTTTATTTGAAAGGGCCGGCCGCCTCGGTCGTCGTTTGCGCCTGTGCTTTGAGGCCCGCCGCGAGGGCTTCTTCCGTCTTCTTCGCAAGTGCACTCACAGAGTTCTGCGAGCTTGCGATCTCCTCACGATTCTGAGCCCTGATGGTGGGGGGCGGGTGCTAGTGACTGCTACTGTGCTTGTGTGTCCTCCTTCTGCTTTTGCAAGCTCTCTTGCAGAGTCTGCGAGAGGCTTTGCTGCTTTTCGGCAGACTCCTTGCTCTCCTTTCGAAGCGCTTCCAAAGCCGCGGCCTGGCTTTGCTGCTGGGCCGACAGTAGGCCCTGCACCTGGCACACATGCTGCAGCCCCGAGAAGGGAAGGGCGCTTTGCCCGCAGCCTCGGCCATGAGCTTCTTCTGAAGCTGCTCCACGACCATCTCAGGGAGCAGTGCAAACGCAACAATCTGTGATTCTCTGCTTCTTTTGGGGGCTTCCTGTCTGCAGTGCTGCAGTCTGCAAATTGCCTCGGCCATCAGCGTCCTCTGCAGCTGCTCCATCTCAGCCTCCCCAGAAACACTCTCAGTCTCAGCATGGGGAACCCTCAGCCATCCGTCGCCTTCAAGGACTCCGCCGGGCTTTCCTGCAAGCTGCTAAAGGCTCTTCAGTGCAGCAGTGCAGCAGACTGATCCGGTTCTCCTTCGCGGCGACCTGGGCAGACAAAAGGGAGCTTCAGAGCAGCACTCTCAGCAGCCCAGGGCGGCCCAGGCCGGGCTCCCCGCCAGGCGCGCTGCCACGCAGAGGAAGAGCCCGAGGCGGCCCAAAGGAATGGCCATCGTGTGACAAGAGGCAGAAAAAAGGCCCCACACCAGGCACCGCTTCTAGATTTTTTACGGTCAGCGGCTACTCCTTGTGTCTCGACCCTCACATGTTCTCTCCTGTCTGCCATCGGCGCTTCCCTTGCAGGCTGCGAGGCTGCGGCGCTCGACGCACAGGCGCTGCCACGTTTTTTTTTTATGGCCATTCTTTAATGGACCGGCTTTTAGCTAGTGACTTAGAAAGATTATTGAGAATGGCAACATGGTAGTAAGCTGTTTCTAACCCAGTAATAACCTCGTAGTAAGCTGTTATAAAGATCACAAAAGGTTATTGAAGTTATGTGGAATTACACAAAAATTATAAATGCTATCGGCTTTACTTAAGAGGTTATGATGGGTTATGTAAGTGATTAAGCATAAAGACTGTAAGTCCAATAAGTGGTTAAATTCCGGATTACATAACCACTTATAACCCAGACGCAAGTGTTGTTTTGGTGGATCATGCAGTCAGAATTTTTCATTGCCGATAGACGTCAGGCAGCAAGTTTGGGCATGATTGGAATGAGATTGTGTGCTTCACGTGGCAGGATCATGTTTGCAATTCCGCTGCAAATCGCAGCTCATGGCTCCAGGGCCAGAAACGTGGAAGAGCAGGACACGTTCGGGCATGCCAAACATAGACAGACCATGGGGTGTAAATAAACCAGGCACCGCATGGTTGCGGGGACAGTTTTCACGGAAGCGTGCATAGGATTCGCAAAGAAGTGTGACAAGCTTTTCGCTCAGCATGAATCAGGTTTAGGCTTCAGGGTGGAAGCTTTCGTCGCTTGACTCTGTCGGCGGCGAAAGTGAAAGCCCCAGCAAACTGTAAGCAGCATGAATCAGGTTTATAGCTTTAGGGTGGAAACTTTCGTCGTTTGACTCTGTCGGCGGCGAAAGTGAAAGCCCCAGCAAACTGCAAGGAGAGGTGTCGACTGTCTGAAAG